TTCCTTCCTTCCTTCCTTCCTTCCTTCCTTCCTTCCTTCCTTCCTTCCTTCCTTCCTAACCCAGTCAGTCTCTTATTTCCCTAAGCTTCATGTTTCTTCATGTTTTAGAACCCAGAGAATAAATTTATTTCCATCTTCTGTTCGGAGCCTCTAAACTAGAAGGAATAAAAAATCCCCGCTAGGTTTTTATGTAGGTGGTTTAAACATTGTGGGTTAGAATAATTTATTAACCTATCGTTTTTTATTAATTAACTTTTTCCTACAGATGATTAATAACAATGAGAATAGAGACACATTTTACATATTTTAAATATTTCTATTTAAATTATAGAAGTAGTATTAGTTAAATAATTAGAGGAATCAATAAAACAGGTTTTTTTTACTATGGTGTATTTTAAACATTAAGTTTGACGTTTTCAGGTAAGTTTATATTAAATGACTGTTAGTTGATGTAAACATCCGTGGTCTGAAAAGCAGCCGCTCTGGTCTTCTGCTCAGTGACTCTGTTCTTTCTGTGGATCCTCAGCAGAGGCAGCGGCGTGTGCCGCAGCCATGACCGACTCGCTCATATTAACATATTTAGAAAACTTTCTTTGTTTAGTGCGTTTGGGTGTGTGTTTGATGTTTTGAAGTGAGACAGAAGAGTGGCAGTTTATGGAGCGTTCAGAGCGCCAGCCGCCGTCCAGTCAGTCCAACCGCATGATGAAAGACTAAGAAACTGAAACGCTACACACACACTCACACACACCCCTACTCGTTCTGCTATATGTAGTGAGGACCAAAAGTTGACTCCCATTGATTTCCATTGATTTTCATTCATTTTCAACCTTTCTGTGCTCTAACCCTAAAACCAAACCCAACCATCATGCATACCCCCCCCCCTAACGCTATTGACACCTTAGCTTTAAACCTAACCGTTAGCAAAATAGCTTGTGAGGACCAGCAAAATGTCCTCACTTAACAACAACTGGTCCTCATTGTGATAGTGAAACAGGAAAAATGGTCCTCACTTTAAGGCTTAGACAGGTACACCCCCCACACCCCCTCAGTTAGAGGCCTGTGTGCATTACTGTTTATTCTCTTCCCTCCTGGAGGATCCAGATACTCAGGCTCCTTCTGATGTCTGATGGATGCCTGAGATTTCAGAGCCCAGTCCGATGTCTTTAGGATTCTGTCCTTTCCTGATTTTGCTCCAGATGAAAACAGGATACCCCCCCCCCCTCCGCTAGTCGATGGCCTCGGCCTGCCAGGAGTGCGCTGCTGCGCGTGAGCACAGCTTGATGGATGTTTTCAAGGCAATTACTATAAGTTGCCCCTGAAAGAGGGGATGTTTCCTTCTGATGAGGGAAGTTTGGGTTTATAATTTAATTTCTCATTATGCTAACTGAAGTCTAACAATTCATCTTGTTTTTCTGCTGCAGTCTGCGTATAATCAGCCTTTTTCTCAGCAGCTGCTATAGGTTTTCTGTTTCTGCATTCATTCCACCTGTCAGGTTTTATGCTGAGTGTTGTGCTGCTGTGTGTTTCTGTTTATATCTGTATGTATGCAGGTGTGTGTGTGTGTGTGTGTGTGTGGGGGGGGGGGGTTTGTGTGTGAACTCAGGAGGTGTGTTTTTTTTTTTCACGGATCACACTCAGCAGCGTGTAAACCTCTATGAGAAAATCCTCATGGGGTTCGTATGCATTTGTGAAGTATTGATCTGGGATCTTTTAGCAGCGCCGCCGCCGCCGCCGCGTTGTGAGCAGTCATTCACCTTTGTTCTACCTCCCTGTACCCCCCCCCCCCTCCCTTTTTTCTTTCAGTTCCTATTGAGCTCATAGGACAAGAGCTGAGGTAAGGAAACACCTTCATCTTTGTGCAAAAGCCTTTCATAAAGTTCTTTTATGTGCGCCGCCGTGCAGCAGTCCCCCCCCCCCAGCACTAATAGACCAGCGGTGATCCTTTAAACAATGCTGTATAATACTAGTTTTTATTCTTTATTATCAGCTCTCTGCAGCTCATGGTCAGGGCCTCCAATGTGCTGTTATTGATTTCTGGCAGCCTTTTGCTGTTTCCTGCTATGAGCACCTACTGTAGATGTGATAAAAGAGCTGTGTGATCTCTTTGCTTCCAGATCGGAGCACAAGCACAGGACAGTCAGGGCTGATGATGTAGTTTAGTCTTTCGGCTTCACCTTCTTGTAGATTCCCACCCATTAAAACATCTTATTGTAGCAGAAAGTCACTCCTCCTCCTTCTTCATGCCTATAAATCAGACCTCCATGCGGTCTGCAGACCTTTACATTTCCTCAATATGTGATGCTTTCTTTTGAAAAATGACGGTTTACAAATTGCCAGGTATTTAAGCTTCTATAAAGCAGCATTTTTATTTAAACCAACTGAGAAAGTATAAACTAAACTGTGTTATAAACAAATAATGTGGAAATTTGTTGTTTCTGGAAAAGACTTTCATGGCTCGGCCTTTTAAAGTATCAGGAATCTGTTTACCCTGCAGATTACAGAGCCGTGTCGTTTTAAAGAGACAGATTATAAAAAAAAAAAAAGACAGATTGACCTTTTGTTGGGTTTTAGTCCAAAATGCCGGGCTAATAACAAAAAATAAAATAAAATATAAAACATTGCAAGGAGAAAAATACAGATTGTTTTGATCTTTTTGGGTTAAATTATGAAGCAAATATATTTTTGAAGAGAAAAGGTATAATAAAATATACATTTTCACAATGTAAACGGTTAGCATAGCATAACTAGTCTAGTTTGAAGATTCATAAGAGAACAAACTGATTTTTTAAGACAAATTGGTGTTTTTTTTAACAGATTTCCCAACTGGGCTGGCACAAATCTAATTTACATCTAAATACTATGATACACATAATGTTTTTTCACTGGAAGAACAATTTCATATATAGTTTTAACTGTTTATGCCTTTATTGTAAAACGCATCCATTTATGGATCAGGTAAATGAATTGTTATGAGGAGAAGACGCAAATCTTATTTCTGCCATAACATGAGATATAGCATTAGAATCGCAAAATACATTTCAAGGTGTAAATACTTGTGTTTTTAATTAAAGTGGAACATTATCTCTTAAGTTATGAAGAAGGTTTTAAAGAAAGAATAAAAATTTGCAAAAAATGAATTAAAAAAAAAAGAAGGGGGGAAAAATAACGGGTGGTGTGGAAAATAAAAAGAAAGGAGAAAAAAAAAAAAAAAAACTTGGTTTCAAAAAACTTAGGGAACAAAAAAAAAAAAAAAAAAGAGAAAAGAAATAAAGAAAAAAAAAATAATAAATAAATTGCAGTTGTGCATAGGTGGTACTAAGGGTGGGAGAGAGGGGGGGTGGCACCACAGCAAAATGCTTAGCATGTAAATTATAGTTAGAAACAAATCAAAAGTGTTATTTTATAATATTACCACGTTGTTGTGATAATAAAATGAGAGAACAAAGGCCTTGTATGTGTATCTATGAATTACGCCTACACACGTAAATATAATTTCCACCAAAGAACGCAATGTGGGGGAAATTACAATCTGACAGAAATTGGCGGGAAAATCTTTGCTAGCATCACATACTAGCTAAAAAAGGGTCGCTAGCATTTTATGCTTAAAAATATGTGTGTTAAAATAAAAATTAATTTCCAAACTGAGTTGATGTTACAGCATGTTTGGAAATTATATACAATAAAAATATTTCAATTTCAAGCAATATTTACCTTGACTTTATTTTAAAAGTTGATGGATGAAGTCAAAATTCCCACCATGTCAGACTTGTGCTGTGATGTCACTGTTCATCTCCATAGCAACTACCCAAACAATCTTTCTTACAAACTTCTTAAAGGGACATTAAAATGTTGTGGTGGAAATTACAATTGGTTTAGAAAATCACATAAACAGTTATATGACATTAAATACTCCAATTATAGTTTGATTATTTTACTGATACTTTTTTCAATGATTGTTTAAAACTTTAGAAAAAATGTTTTTTTTACTATTCATTTTTATCATTAAAGATCAAAAAGTCTTGGTGTGGGGAAAGCACAAAACAGTAATATTTACGTATAAATGAGGCTAAAAAAAGGTGAAAAAATCATCACAGTTACTAAAACGAATGTCTTAAAACAGTTTCATTGTAAAGATAACTATAAAGGTGTGAAATGTCCCTTTTTTAATTTTTCCATGAAATATGATCAAAGGACATAAAAGTGCCCGTAGTTAAAGAATCACACACATATATATCTTCCTCTATAATGTGTACACAATTTTTTACATTTTAATAAGCTTAATAAAGGAACATACTCTTTTCCTCCAAAAAATGCACATATAAATTTTCCACCATCTTTAATTTATCGGAGCTGCTACTGTGAATGTAAAGTTATCTACAGATTTACCATATTAACCAACATTCCTGTATTTTCTGACATTTGACCTTTTAATGGTTAGCATTAGCATTCTTAGGCTCTGAGCTCCATAGATGTCGGATCAGGTGCACTAAATGACTTGTGAAATATTGTAGTGTGTTCAGTAAGCGGCTGCTCTGTGGGGGGTGCTGCAGAGATTGCTGCACAAATGTGAGTTCTACTGGCCGTCTGACGGTGGCTCTAAAGGAAAGATAAGCTTCAAAACCACGAAAAATTATCATTATTTTTAAAATGATATCAACACTACTTAATGATATTTATGGTCCCCCTTAGATAGGAAAACTGGAACCAATTATTTCTGTAATTTCTAGAGTAAAAAAATGACAGTACCTACATGTTTCATTTTATGAGATGTAATATATATTGCAATGCTTTACAGGTAAAAACTAATATAACAGTAACTTAAAACATGTTTAAAACAAGTAAATCATAACAAGGCAAGGCAAATTTATTTGTATAGAACAATTCAGTACAAAGACAATGCAAAGTGCTTTACATGATTAAAATACAGGAAGATAAAACAGAATCAAAGCAAGTAGGAAAAAATAAAATAAAATAAAAATGCAGAAACAAAAAAGATTCTTAAAAACAGTTGGACTAAAGAAAATATATTTCAGTTGAACTGTTTAACTAGAACAGTGGAAGGCAATCCTAAACAAAAGTGTGTTTTTAGTCTTGATTTTAAAGGAACTCAGGCTTTACGCACTTTTACAGTTTTCTGGAAGTTTGTTCCATAAAAGAAAAATTATTAAACATTCATCATTTATTTCAATGCGCAAACACAGGAAAATCGGCAAAAATGTGAGTTAAAAGGTCATCATTTAAGACGTGTAAACCCCCCCCCCCCACACACACTTGTAAAGGTGATGTTAATTGTGAACAAGCTTTCAAAGCAGTTTAAATATAACAGGAACAGTTTAAAGTAAATATATCAGAAGATAGAAAAAAACTTTAACATCAGATATGATCCGACTGATGAATCGGTCTGCCTTTAGAACAGGAAGGAGAAAATGAGTTTTTTTTAGTGAAGATTACATATTTATTTAATATTTACTGTATTTACATAATATTTACAGTTTATTCTAAAGAAACATCGGCTGATTTAGGCCTTTGGTAAAAAATGATGGTTCTGTTCTAAACGACTCTCCTCATCTGCTGCTTCATTTTGTCACTTTTCACCTCAGAGCGTCAGAAAAAGCTTCCCTTTTTGGGATTAATGGAGAGAGGAAAAAATAAAGAGTAGGGAAGGCCAGCGAGAGTCTCATTTAAAATGCTAATGCTGCAATTTTTAATAAGTAAAATTAATAATAAGGATAATTGGAGTAATAAAGGGCAATTGCTGGGGGAAGTTAATGAGAATTAAAATGAGCCATCCTGAGGGGTCATGGCAACCTGAATCAAAGCAGAGAGAGAAGAAAGGAGGTAGCAATGAAGAAGATGGTGATGATGATGATGACTGGTGAAGAGAGGCGAACAGGGGAAATTACAGCAGGTCTCGGCTGATCTTTATCGCACGTAGTAACAGGATATAGGCCAGGGTTGATGTACGACACATAATATTCTGCTTCCTCTGGCTGGATGCCACCTGCATTCATGCATCATGTGTGTCGGCCGGACGAGCCGCGCCGCTCCGCGCCGCATATCTTCTTTTGTACATGTGCATTTGTGTGACACGTTTGCCCTGTTTGCATCTCTTTGCTTTGTTTCCTTTATCTTAATTTTCTTTTTACTGCCTGGGTTTATCACTGCGACTGCTGCTGCTGCACAGCCACTAAAATGCACTTGTGTCTTGAACATATCTCTAACCTCCATCCCATCCCATCCAGCTGCCCCACCCCCGGATGCAATGGCTCCGGCCATATCAGTGGGAGATACTCACGACACAGAAGGTAGGGCAGATGAAACCCACCCTCTGTCTGTCTGTCTGTCTCTTCCTTTGTCTGTCCTTCTTCACCTGCTGTTTGCTTTTAGAGACGATCAGGACAAACACAGATAATCAGATCAGACCATCAGTGCTACAAATATCCATGAAAAGCTGCAGGCAGATGTTTTAATGGCTTATTAAACTCCTCTCAAAGTTAGAAAATGGAAGAAAATGTCCCTAAAGCTGCAAACTAAATCCCTCTCCAGAATTATTTGGAATCTGTTTTGTAAACTTTCAGGTTTAAGGTTTAGAAATGAGGTAATTAACTGTCAGCATGATGGACGGGCCAAAGGTGTGATAGACGGTGTTTGGAGGAAAGCTACGATTGCACTGCGTTTATGGCGAACTTCAGAGTAAACAGATTTAGAAAAAATAAAGGAGTTATAAAGTTTTATCTCAAACAATGATTCATGTTTTGACTTGCTTTCCTTTGATAATTGAATTAAATGTTTGCATCTTTGGATCAAAATATCTGAATTTATGAAAGAAAAGATGAAAACTTTCACCTTTAACAAAGGATAACAAAGCAAAGTGTGCTGGATGAGGAGCATCGTCTCGGACTAAAGTCACTGAACATCATTTCTCACCTGACAGAAAGTCCAGCTGAATGTAAACAACGTCCCAGAGACAGCGTGGAGTCTGAGCAGCAGACGGCTTTAAGTCAGCAGGGCGTTAAAAGTGGAACTGTCGAATATCTCTGTAGTTTTTATCAGTTCTCAGCAGCAGAGGCATCCAAGGTATTCATGTTTATTCCTCCAGCATGAATCCTGCTGTTTATAAACACTTTTGTAGAAGTTAGAGGATCAACTTCAGCGTTTTACTCCAGTAAACCAGTGTCAAATTTAACTTTGCATCATCTTGATATGAGCTAACATCACAAAAACGCCTATTAACATGCATGCTAGAGCGTGCATGAGCCCATTTCTCCTCGTGCACACTCTGTTTAAACGTTGCTGTTCGTACTCGTACTCGTCGTCTCCCGCTTTACCCGGAACCGGGTCGCAGGGGCAGCAGACTAAGCAGAGACTCCCAGACTCTCCTCTCCGCAGACACCTGCTCCAGCTCTGCTGGGGGAAGCCCTAGGCGCTCCCAGGCCAGCCGAGAGACATAGTCTCTCCAGCGTGTCCTGGGTCGTCCCCTGGGCCTCCTCCCGGTGGGACGTGCCTGGAACACCTCCCGAGGGAGGCGTCCAGGGGGCATCAGAAGATGTCCGAGCCACCTCAACTGACTCCTCTCGATGTGGAGGAGCAGTGGCTCTACACTGAGCCTCTCCCGAATGGCCGAGCTCCTCACCCTATCTCTAAGGGAGAGCCCAGCCACCCTGCGGAGAAAGCTCATTTCAGCCGCTTGTATCCGGGATCTCGTTCTTTCGGTCATGATCCAGATTTCATGACCATAGGTGAGGGTAGGAACGTAGACCGACCGGTAAATTGAGAGCTTTGCCTTTTCGCTCAGCTCTCTCTTCACCACGACAGACCGGTGCAGCGTCCGCATTATTGCAGCAGCCGCACCGATCCGTCTATCGATCTCCCGCTCCATTCTTCCCTCACTCGTGAACAGGACCCCAAGATACTTGAACTCCTCCTCTTGAGGCAGGGACTCTCCTCCAACCTGAAGGGGACAAGCCACCTTTTTCTGGTCGAGAACCATGGCCTCGGATTTGGAGGAGCTGATTCTCATCAATGTTGATGCTGAGAATCAACGTTGCTGTTCTCATAGCTAATCCAAGGTTACTGGCCGTCCGCCCTAACCTCTAAATCCCTCCATCACTATATAGAGCGGGGACTATATAGTGAACTTTATAGTGAACTCAGTTAACTGACCGTTCAGACAAATGATCACTGCTTTTTGCTCCGTTGGTCACGTAATTCGGGTGACAGTGGCGTTGGGAGCAGAAGTTTGCTCTAAAATCGAAGGATTGCCGGTTCAAGGCTCTGGTTTTCCTTGGGCAAGACACTTCACCTGCATTGTCTACTGATGGCGGTCAGAGGGCCCGGTGGCGCCAGTGTACGGCAGCCTCGCTTCTGTCAGTGAGCCCCAGGGAAGCTGTGGCTACAATGTAGCTCTCCACCGTCAGTGTGTGAGTGTGTGCGTGAATGGGTGAATGAATGTGGTGTAAAGCGCTTTGGTCAAGTCTCCTGACTCGACCAAAGCGCTATATAAGTACAGGCCATTTACCGTTTAACTCCTCCGCGCGGTGCCTGCGCCATCTTTGTTATCAGCCGCTGTCAGGTAGTGACAGCCTATGGTGACAGCAAATCCCATAATGCTTTGCGAAGAGAGCTCTCTGTGCAAAGCATTCTGGGATATATCTGCCTCCTCTGAGGCTTTTCTTTTCTTCTCATTCACTTCGTAGACACTTTTCCTCTTCTGACCCTCGGCCATTTTTTAAAGAAAGAGAAAGGTGAGCTTCAATGACCGTCTGAAACCGTAGCTCACCACAGATATACGCCTGAAAGTGCACAGAAAAAGATCGCTAAAGATCGTAGGACGGCCTTACATAAATATATCACCAGAATGATTGACAGTTAGGAGGACCACTGATTTAGATGATCCACCCGGAAATAAAAGATCCTCCTCTATACCTTAAACACCTCGTTCCATTGACCACTTAGCTAGCTTCCTCTGCTTCCTGTTGATTACAGCCAATGAAAACACGTCTAGTTTGTATTTTCTTTTTACGACATTTTAAAGGTTCTGAGTTGGTTTTCAGGTCAGAAGGACTGAAATCCGCTAACGATACAGAACCAGGCACCTTTCAGCAGGTTTTTCTAACCGTGTTTTAAATCCTTTAAATCCAGCCACCAGCTTTTAATCTGAAAGTCCAAATACTTTCAGCACCATTAAAATCTGTGCGTGTCGCTCACAGAAGGCCTGACTTTAGCGCCACTGATACACGAGCCAAACGAGAACAGACTGAGACGTGTGTCGCTGCTTACGGCTAAGAACCACTTCAGTCCCAACGTGGATTACAGATGAAAAACAAATGATCCAGAACATTTTAATTAAACATCTTCAGAGCGGATGGGCGGGCGGCGGGCTGCGTTCGCACAGGGAGAGACGGCGGTGAAACGGCAACACGATGCAGGGATCACAGCAGGAGCATGAAGGAAACGGACCCATAAAGCTGCCCTCTCACCCACAGGTCAGCAGGTTCTGAGCCAAAATGGCCGCTCTCATCCAGAACTGATTATTTTCCTCTTTAGAAAATTAAACCTTAATGGAAATATATATATATATATATATATATGGTATAACATGAGGTTCTATCATTACATGAAGATACAGGGAATTAGATTTTTACCAAATAAAGTCTATAATAAGAGTCTTCTTTTCTTTTCAAAGCAGAGGGAGGTGAACGCAGACAAGTTAAGCAGTGAAACTATGAATCGTCTCCCTCCGATCCACAGGCTGTGGTTTCCTTTCACAGGAAATCCCAATAGAAACACTGTTGGCTTTGTGATGTGATGAAACAGGTGAACTGATGACGTCTGATTGGCTTTTTATGGGCTGGAAACATTGAGGACATCTCCTTACAGACCAAAACTCCGACTAACATCAAACCTTTGGAGACATTAAACCAGGACTTAATGGGGGAAAACCTTTGAGAGAATGAGTCTAGAATAGCTAAGTTGAACCATAACGTCTGCAGCTGTTCCTCAGATCTTCTGAATCTAAAGCAAACAGCAGCGATATGTGATCCTCTCCAGCTTTTTCACTCCACTTTCATTTCTCCTCCTTCATTTCCACGCATGTCGTCCTCCTCAGAGACCCCGTGTCACCTGCAGGGGTGGGAGGGTGGAGGTTCAGCCGTTTGTGACTCCTCTTTATTGAAGGGAAGATATTAGCTATCTGTTTACATGTGTATTCGTTCAGCAGGCAATTTCAGATGCACTTTGTTTATAGATCGTCCCTCGGTCTCCCTCGGCATCTTCCAGGTGCGAATCAGGGGGAGTTTATTGGATTTCACCCTCTGCTGCTTCGCCGCCAGCCCGCCTCTCCATACAAGTTGTTCATTAAACGTTCCACTCAATTGGCTGAGATTGGTTTTAAGGGTGAGGGAGCGAGCAGGGCGCCACCCTCAGGCCACATGTCACACTGCAACGGCTTCTCCATCTCCTCTCTGAACTTTCTGCTTCTCCTTCTGCTTTTCTGCTCCTGGCTCTGCATGAACGTCACCAGGATGTTAAAGATGCTCTTGATTCTTATTCTAATGCCTCTGATTGTTTTTCCTCCCCTCGCCTTTTCATCAGCCTTTTGGCTTGCCCCATAGCCAGAAAGCGCCGTCTAGAGGAGGCTGAACAGGAGCAGGAGCAGGAAACAGGGAAGCCCTCCTCCAAAAGGAAGTCCCACCCCCTGAAACTGGCCCTGGACGAGGGCTTCAGCGCAGAGAGCGACACCAGCAGCGAGGCAGAGGACGAAGCTGCCAAGGATGGAGAGAAGGGAGACAAGGAGGGAGAGAAGGATGCAGGCAGGGAGGAGATGGCGCCCGAGCATCCAGAGCAGGACGGCAAGGGACTGATGAACGGGCAGGAGGAGGAGGAGGAGGAGGAGGAGGAGGAGGAGATGTCAGCGGGTGATGAAGGTAAGGCTTAACAAAGAAAGAGCAACAGAAAATAATGAATGAATGAATAAATGTTTTAGCAACAATCTGCATTCATCATTATTAATCTCCTTATGAGAAGAAACTTTGAAGCGTTTCTCTTCCAGAACGGTTGATTTAGAGCAGCGTGGTTCATAAGGTGATACGCTGTGAAGGAAACTCCAGGAAATGATGCTTTTCAGTGAAACAGACGCTTCAGAACCAGAAGCTCAGAGGTTTGGAAACATTAAGGAGACCAAAAAAAGCTGAAGATAAAAAAAACCTAAAGTACAAACTAAAGTTAACGTTTAAAAGCTGTTTATACTTCCTGTACGAAGGAATTTATTCTGAATCAAACTGAATTAAGGTGGAACTTCACATATGGTGTGAATCAGTGGTGCATTTATAACTTGACCTGCTTCTTTGGGGCCCCGGGGCCAACAGTGCATTCTGAACATGGCCGACGTTTACTTATACAGATGAGTTAGACCTCAACTCTATTCAGTTTATTCACGTCATCGCAGCTCACTTTATAGAGACAATTCAACCAGATCATCCAGTCAGATTGATTCAAAGTTTTCTATCTAAGGAAAACCAGCTGATTGCATCGACTCATTGACTCTTCAGCACACTAAGCATGCTTGTAGCGACAGTGGAGAGGAAAAACTCCCTTTGAACAGGAAGAAACCTCCAGCAGAACCAGGCTCAGTGTGAGCGGCCATCTGCTGAGGCCCACTGGGGTTCAAGGAGACAGAAGCAGACATAGAAAAAGAAGCATAGATACAAAAGGGCAACTGGTCCAGGAAACACACAGCCAGGCAGACGAGCTCGATCTCAAACACAAACTAAAGACTTTAAATGATTTAGGAAACAATTTAGAGAAGCCAATTAAGCCAAAGGTGATGCTTCTGGATTGTGGCAGGAAGCTGGAGTACCAGGAGAGAGCCCACGCTGCACAGGGAGAACATGCTAACTCTATGCAGGAAGACTCCAGGAATCAAACCCAGAACCTTCTAGCTGCAAAAACTGAAGTTTTACAACCTTATTTATAAATGTTTATAAAGTTAATACCGTTTCTAAGAGGGAGGAGAAAAGCCTCAGACCATATTTAGCCCTGTATGAAAAGAGGGAGCATAATTTATAAATATGGCTTATAAAGTAAAAATGAAGCAAATAAATGACCAATTTTAGGTTTTTCCTTTTAAATGTTTTGTTAGAAATATTGACTTTTCTTAAACAGTAAAATAAACAAACTTTAAATATTGGACTTTAAAAGTGGAAGTTTTGTAAATCAGAGGAGATTGTTTTTTTAATCGTTTGACTTTTCTTTGTGGTTCTGTGAGTTTAAAGGTAAATATTTTTTATCATACATTCCCTGACACTGGATCAATGTATTAAATGAGTTTAACTCCATTTTTCTGCCTCTAAAAGCTCCCGGTGCACTGAGACCGATAATCTGTAGTTCCACAGATTATTAATCTGGGTCTGCTCCGGTCTCATGGGTTTAGGAAGAGAGTGATGTTTAGCAGAACCTTCTGAGCTGATTGGCTGAAGCGAGCAGAGTTTGGTGGTCATGGTAACCAAAGATATAGCAGCAGACGCCATGACGAACCACAGCATATAATCTCTGCGCCTACGTCCCGCTGCGCCGCCATGTTTGGTTTGGTTCAACTTTGGAAAATAGACTTTCAACAGATTTTAGTAGGATAAATATTACATTTGGTCATTTTCAGATTTTTTATAAGCAGATTTTCTTCTGGATGAAAATGTTTTTAATGTTATAACTTTTAATGAATATTAAAAGATGCTCTGAAGGTGCTGATTGACACCACTTCAGAAAGTTTGGTTGTTTTATATTTACACATGCAGGTGGATGAAGCAAGTAAAGAGAAACAGGAAGATGAAATGTTTCACACTCTTGCATACAACTGGATCTATGAGCTGCTTAAACTGATGCATCTTTGTGACAGCGGGTCGTTTTTTCTGCACCGTCACTTCACAGGCTGAGAGTTGATGCCGACAGCTTGAGCTCCCTGCGTGACTCCGGCTTCGCTCTGAGCCTCTGCTCTAACCTCTTCTTCTCTGCTTTCACAGAGCAGGAGTGCCTGATCGTTGAGCCGGAGCTACGAGCCGCGCCACCTGCAGCCGAGGTGAGCCCTCCGCCTTCACAGAGCGCCGAAGAGGTGGCCGACTCTCTGCTCCACCTGGGCCAGGTCTCTAACAGCCACACTCACGGCGTGGCTTTGCAGCAGATTGAAGATGTCAGCGCAGCAGCTGAGGGGGGAGAAGAAGAAAAGGATGAACAGGAGGAGGCCATGCATGAGGGCGAGGAGGAAGAGGAGGAGGCACAAAGAACTCTGGAGGAGTCATCTGCTCTGCAGAATGACGGGAGGACGGTGGAGGAAGAGGAGGGCGAGCATGTTAACATGAGCAACCATGTGAGCCACAGCCAGCAGATCAAAGGGGAAGAGGAGGAGGAAGAGGAGGAGGAGGAGGAGGAGATGGTGGTATCAGTGCAGCAGACGCAGGAAACTCCAGCAGAAGATGAGGGGGATGATGAGAAAGATGAAGAGGAGCACAGCTCTTTCCTCTCCATATCTGATGTGCCAACTGCCGTCCAGACCATCACCAGCACAGCAGCAGCTCAGGGAACACACATCAAGACGGAAAACCATAGACTTCTGGAGGACTACGGCAGCAACAGATACGGCTCACTTCCAGACTTCAAAAGCAGCCCTCCTTTAAGCTCCCACACCGCCAGCCCGCTCCACGACTACTTCTCCATTCCCAGGGGGGACAACTTTAAGATCCACAAAGCCTCAGCCTCCCCCGACGTCATCGAAGTGCGGTCCGACAAGTCAGAGGAGAAGGACTTTGACGACTTGGACGGAGACGACGAGCGAGATGATGACGACAGCCTGTCGCAGCGTTCCACGGTGACCGACGAGTCGGAGATGTTCGACATGACCAGAGGGAACCTGGGCCTCCTGGAGCAGGCCATCGCCCTGAAGGCCGAGCAGGTGAAGCCAGCCGGGCCCAGGGAGCTGCTCCGCGCTCCGGACCTCCATCACCAGAGGTACTTCACCATCGAGGACAGACCCAAGCACCTGGACATCATCCGCAAGACGTACTTCAGCAAAGGTTGGCCCCTCCTTCTTCTAGTTAAGATGTGTAGATAATCAGGATTACAGAGCTTCACTAATAGATGCCGCCGACACAGATTCAGAAGCTTCATTCGATGATTTATCATATATTTTCTCCAGATTTTTTATTAGAGTGGTTCAGAAAACATTCAAACTATGCAGGACTGCATGAAGGCGGAGCTAACAGAACGCTAAAGGCGGAGTTAAAGACGACAGGAAAGGCGGCTCTAAAAGCGACGCTAAAAGTGACGTTAAAGGCGGCAAAAGAGAAGCTCCTAAAGGTGCCGCTAAAGGCTTAATTCAAGGAGGCGCTAAAGAAGGTGTTAAAGACAAGCTAAAGGCAGAACTAAGGCAGCATTAAAGGCGGCACTGAAGAAGCC